AAGTAGAGCGTCTATCTGTAATGGACCCAGCCCAATCAGCATATGTATATCCAAAAAACTTCCAGATCTTCATGTTTTGAGACCATTAAAACCTTTCCAAGGGCTGATTTTAAGTATCTTAAGATTCGATCAACAGCATTCATATGAGAAACACTGGGTGAATGCATAAACTGACTAACCACACTCACAACATATGCACTATCTGGTCTTGTGTGTGCCAGGTATATCAACCTTCCAACAAGGCGTTTGATACTGTTCCTTATTGGTTGGTTCTTGGTCCATGTCTTCACACAACTTGTGATTCATCTCAATGGATGGTGTGGTATTGGAGCTGAAGCGGGCAAAATCTCATAAGACGGTTCAATTTCCTCCTCTTGATTTTGACAACGTGGAGAAAACTGATCGTTTTCCTCTGGTGACCGGTCGCTGGATTTTGGCGACCGGTAGGTTTGAAACAGCTTCTCTGACTACCAGTCGCTTTCCACTGGCGACTGGTACTTTTGAAGCAGATTCTCCATGTTCGAAGAACTACCAGGGGGGTCGCTTTCCACTGGCAACCGACCGTTTGATTTAGGAATTTGATTTGAGGAATTTGATGTAGGAATTGGATTTGGATTCGGATTCAGGTTGGAAGGTTGGGATTCGGATTCAGATTTGGATTTGGATTCGGATTCTGATTCGGATTCGGATTCGGATTTGGATTCGGATTCAGGTTGAAAGGTTGGAATTCGGATTCGGATTCAGATTTGGATTTGGATTCGGATTCTGATTCGGATTCGGATTCGGATTTGGATTCGGATTCAGGTTGAAAGGTTGGAATTCGGATTCGGATTCAGATTTGGATTTGGATTCGGATTCTGATTCGGATTCGGATTCGGATTTGGATTCGGATTCAGGTTGAAAGGTTGGAATTCGGATTCGGATTCAGATTTGGATTTGGATTCGGATTCTGATTCGGATTCGGATTCGGATTTGGATTCGGATTCAGGTTGAAAGGTTGGGATTCATATTCGGATTCGGATTTGGGTTGGGAAACGATATCCATGGCAGCGGAAGGATTTAAGAATAAGAGAAAAAAGATGTGTTTAGGGTTTCAGGATAAGAGTAGATGAGGATGTGGGTATGAAAATCTGAATCTGAACAAGGCGGTATGAGGAATACGATACGAGGATACGAGGAATTTGATTTAGGATACGAGGATATGAGGAATACGATACGAGGAATACGATTTGTGTTTCAAGAAAATTCGATACGAGAATTTAGAGAACACAGAAACCCTGTGAATTCGGTTAAAGAACACAGAAACCCTGTGAACACGGCTAAAGGACACAGAAACCTTGTGAACACGGCTAAGGACACAGAAACCCTGTGAACACGGCTAAATGACACAGAAACCCTGTGAACACGGCTAAAGAACGCAGAAACCCTGTGAACACGCCTTAAGAACATAGAAACTTCTCTTCAATCCTCTTCTTCCCTTGAAGAGAAGGGTATGTCGGAGTCAAGATCCTTTTTCACTCCCCCTCCCCTCCTTGAAGGGGAGGGGAGGAGAAATTTTGATATGAGAATTTAGAGACAACCGAGGATCGATTGCTCTGATACTATGCTATCATGAGACCCACCCATGAAATCCTGCAGCATGCTCATCTTCAACAACTCTCTCAAGACCCCTTACTCTGTTCTCCAGAGTTACCATGCTATCATGAGACCCACCCAAATTTCTTGTGGTCACCTACCGTTGGATATTAATTCAATGGTTCAAAAAAGTTTCTTAAAAGAAGTGCAAGAGTGAGTGAACCGTTGAATTTACATCCAACGGTGAGTGACCACAAATCTCTTGGACCCCTGTGGTCCAAGAGATCGGGACTGTATTTACAATAGTCCAATGTCAATGGATACACGGTCCTTTATGGAAACTTCCAAATTTCCAGGATTTGGAAACTTACATGCCTTGATGTTTTAATGGAAATTTGCATAAATACAATCTGAACTTATAGGCATGTGTGTCATTACCACCTGAACTTTTATTTATTTTTTATTTTTAACCACCTGAACTTTGTAAAGTGTTGTAATCCACCACCTACATATAACTCCGTTAAAGCTTCTGTTAAGTTTAAGGGCATTTTCATCAATTAACATTTTTTATTTTTTATTTTATATTTTATATATATATATATAAAATATAAAATATAAAATAAAAAATGTTAACCTAATTATACCAGGCCTCTCCACCCCCAACACCCACACCCTCCTCGGCACCTTCTGCATAACTCCTTCAACGTGAGTACTTGATTGCTTAAGTATTCCTATTGTTATGCAAATCATATATACTTTATTCTCACGTGGGAGACTAATAAAGGAGAATTATACATTGTGGAATGGGATGAAAGCAAGGGGCTGTAAAGAGAACATATAATGGTTGCTTTGCTGGTGATGAATTCCAAATTAAACTTTGGGACATGGACAATGACAATGTGAAGCTGGTTTTTTTTTTCCTGCATCTTTCCCTACAAATAGCATTAATTCTGTGATGGATAAGCATAGTTCCATAGTTCCATGCCATCCAACACTTATTAAGCTAGTGAGATCAGATATGTCAAGCCCTCACAAAAAGGACATTCGAAATTAAAGAAGGTGATCATGGCGTTGTGCGGCTGATTTTCATATATGATCACCATAAGATCAGACCATGGTACACTCAAAATAATTAGGGTTTAAACTGATATGTTTATTCTTCTCTCAAGGAAGAATATATATATATATACTACATACAGAGTGGGGTACAAATAGGAAATATGTACAAAATCTCCTAATTCTACTCAAATTAGATAATTACAATAAAATATCAATTCTATTCCTAATAGGAACGTTAACTCACTCCCACACTCCCCCTTAAGTTGGTGCATAGATATCGGTAATGCCCAATTTATCAAGTGAGTCTTCAAATCGGGGCTTTGACACGGCATGGGTCAACATATCTGCAAGCTGCTTTGAAGAAGGTACAAAAGGTATAGAAATTAACTTATGCTCCAGCCTCTCCTTAATGAAATGCCGATCAACTTCTACGTAGAGTCTTAGACGAGGCGGTGGCTTTGACCATGGAGGACAAGAGGGTACATGTGCAATGCAACATGACCAGGCATGCACCGACAAGAGCGTACGCCGGTCATCCTCAAATTGTATGCTTTTTGCATTTGTTGTTGGAGTCCAATTAATGTGTGGAACCAAGACCCAAAGTGGAATGTTCCAACCCTTCTACTTTTCTACGTGAGTTGCATAGAAGTTGGACTATTCAACCATGCTTGACTCTACTTTACTCATATAGTAGGTAACCATCAATGCAATTAGAGAATTTTGATGATTTGGTTGTGAATATCTTAAGTATAACTTATTCTTTTTATTAATTGGGAAGGGCATTCGAATTTGGGATATTTATTTATTTATTTTGGATACAAACGATTAGAGGAGGAGAGATTCGAACACAGTTAACCTCGGATGCAGGGGAGATTCGAACACATAACTAGTTGCTTGCAATTATTCCTGAAATTAAGTAATTATAATTACAAATTATTGGTTAATTTAAGAAATATCTTTGAAATTGTAAGGGTCTAACTTAGAATTTATATTATTGTTTTAAAGAATTCTAGTCATTGCATGCTTTGTTCCAATGTATCCCAATCAGTTTGTTACCAACTAAAACCTTGAAATTCTTCTTCCCACAAAAAAAAAAAAAAACTGGAATTGGTCATTTT